TTCCCCTTTTGTTCTATACTTTAAAAAAGTTCTTTTTCAACTTTTTTGATTTTAATACATTTTTAAGATTATCTAGTAAAATACTACATTTTTCATACAGTAGATCATTAACAAAAGTCTCATAAAAAGATGGTAATCAACATAATACAACAAATGTCTGATATTTATTTTCAGTCTTAATATCTATGGTAATCAAGTCCATAATTATAGAATTAAACTCATCAAGATATTATTTAATGGACGTACATTCACTCATTCTCATATTGTACAACTTTTTCTTTAAATGAAAGCAGTTTGTCAGTGATTTTACAGAGTACAATTCTTCCAGTTTCTTCTACGTAGCTGAAGCTGAACTTTCTCTAAAAATTTCTTACAGAACATTATTAGTCACACCTATGAGAATCACATATAAGGTTCTATCCTGCCTTATCCGACTCTTTCATAAAAATTTTTCTTCAGTTGCCCCTCATAAACCTTATAAAACTAAGAATGATTTCATTCTAATTTTTTATAGACTGAAACTCATTCCACAATTAAAATTCTTTGTTTTATATTTTATGGATGTCATCTCAAATTCCTAAATTGTGTACTAAAATAAAAAGAGAGAAATATCACTATTAAAAAATAAAAAATCACTCACAGGGAAGCACCATAGCATAGAAAACCACTATGCGTAACCACTAAAGCACCCATGCATTGCTGCTGAACTGCCGCGAGTTGCCAGTGTACCACTGTTGGAACTATCACACATCATCGCCAGCCACCATACGTTGCTACAATTTCATTAGGAATCAACATATAAAGATACGATTGTTCAGATCCAACACGAATCTGGTTATATCATGCCGAAGATCACTAGAAAAATCCCATAATGCAAAATAGACCATCACGGCTGGGTCTTCTTCTCCGGTGTACATTTTCTCTCTCCAGCTTTGGTTTCACACGTGGGCCTCTCTTCGATAATCCTCACTCAGATTCGGTCATATTTACCACACGCACAAAACTTTCTAGTTGCACCGTACACCGTCCACACAGTTCCCCCCTCGCATGTGTGGATTAGCTTCTTCCTCTTCAGGTCGTGCAGCTAAACAACGTACCAGCTTCATCTGGTTGCAGATCTATCAACAGCGACTGCTGTCGTCGAACAAAACTGCCTTGGTTTCTCCTTCAAGTGGTCGAGGTTGATTTGCTACACAGGTTCAGCTACAATCTTTTAACTTCTTTTGGGGTTGTGTTTTATGGCTCTCTCTCACTAATTGATCTGACTTTCTCTCTCTAACCTCCTTCTGATACCACTTATTGGGAAAATTAATTTCTACATATTGTGTACAATTACAACAAAGTAATGCAGATAGAAGAAAAATATAAGATTTTAATATGATTCGACAGTGTGCATATATTTATGAAAAAGATCAAGAGGAAAATATTCCATGGGTAGCTTGTACACGTGGCATTGACTAATAATTGCATAATATATATTGATTTTAAATGTTTATTTAGAAAAATGTTAAATATATATCTTGAACATATAAAAACAATTGAAGGGTTTAAATAGAAAAGTTATAATAATAGAGATTTTTTTTACTATTTAAGTCTTTTTGCTACTAACTAGATTAAAATAATCATTTTTTGTTATTTTTTAAATCTGTAAAGTGAAAGAGATTCTAAGTTAATACCAAAATTGCTCGTACAAATTACTTAGAGGTTTTAAGGATCTTCTTCATAATAGTGTACAGAAATTAAGATAGTAGTGTGCATTTCTCCATCCAAATGGTAAAATCAAACTAAACCAGACTGTTTGGTACAGTTTTTAGTTCACATGAAGAAATCAAAAAGATCAACCCATTTTAGTATAATCTTCGTTAGAATCAAAATAAACCAGCTAGAATCGAAAAAATACGAAAAGTAAAATATAAAGTATACTTTCTAATTTTAGTTTTAGTTCTATTTTTTTAATTTTTCAATTAGTTAATTGAAAAAAAATAGTTCATTTTGATCCAAACCAGATAAAAAATATCAATTATGTTTAGTACGAACCAAAACTGAAATAGTTCAACCCTTGATTCAAATCCCTACTCTCAATTGATCATCGATCCAGTTTAATTCAATCTACCTCCCAATGGTTCCTCACTCCTAGATTAGGATTTGAGCAATGGAAATATGAATTTTAATTTCACATCTTTGAAATGAATGGAGTAAAATCAGTTGTCTTCTATAAGGCCTGATAGAATAGTAGAGATAAATATTCATCTATTTCTTTATATCATATTATCTTTATTCTTATTGTAGTTTATAAAGTTTTAATGTGCAAACATAAAAATACTGTTAGATTTTTTTATTAACAAATGAATTTAATGTGGGCTTTGGTGTGCATAATAGATTATTAGTTTATTGAGCCTATTTAAAAGTGATCAATTACAGTTAAACAATTATGAGCCTTAATGCATCGGGTTTAAATATGTAATTGTAATATGTGCAGATATTATATTTATAATTTCTCATTTTATGATAGATAAAATAAAAAATGATAAAAGTTAACGATATAAAAAGGCTTTTGTGGTCTCCAAATTGTATGTAGGTTTTATTTTTCTTGTTATCCTATCAGCAGAAAAAGAATTGTTAAAAGGCCACGTATCGATTTAGAAGATCTACTATTTTACATGAAAATTTCTTCCGTTATGGATTTAGGTACGTTTCTGTGTTCATTATCTTTGATTCAGTACGAGTTTGATTATAGTTTTTAGATTTGCTTTAGTTTAAATTCTATCAAATACAAGTTTAATATCTTAATATATATAGCAATATACAATAAGTATCTTTACCCTTAAACATTATGTATCTTTATTTTGATAGATGTTAATATCAATTAAATATTATATATAGTGTATGTAGTATCTCTCAATTTCATTTTTTTGTTTGATCTATTTAGTTTGCTTGGGGTTGATTCCTATCAATCTCACTTCATTCTATGCTTCATTTCATGGGGAACCTTAAAGTAACTTTATCTTATTATAATTATATTTTATCCATACTTCAATTCTATTCATTTAATATCAATTTGATTTCATTGACATAAGAGATGTTGTTTTTTATAATTTTATAGATGAAAAGTTAAAAAATCATTTAATAATAATTCAAAAATTGAAATAGAAATAAAAAAAGATGTTTATAATGATTTATAAATCTTTTATACTAGATTTATGAAGATAATTAACTCGGTCGTTGTGTTGGACTTTATTATGAATTTCTAACCGCATTCTCTATCCGACCCTCTCATCTACTCTTTGAGCTCAGGTTATAGAAAAAGGAGAAAGAACTAAGAAGAAGATATCAGCAACAACTAGTCTTATTGCAGAACAACTACCTATTATGCGCCTCTCCATTTTGTATTTAGTAGACCTCATACAATAACTGTCCTTACTCTCCCGTTTCTTTTGTTTCATTTCTTCTGCAACAATAACAAAACTTAAAAACTTTTGGAGTAATTATAACTTTTATAGCTTCGTATAAAAGTTAATACACTATAAATAATTGCCACAACAAATATTAAATATTAATTTTAAAATGAAGCAGGCATTTTCGAAATCTTCAAATTTATTTAGGCTACATAATAATTTTTTCCAGGCTGCTTCTGTTAGTTCAATTGACATTTTCTCTGTTCAATTTTCCTCTTCCTCTAGAGTCCATTCTGGTTAAATAAATCATTCAAGTCCTCTAAGTTTCTGTTCTTTCTGATGAAATGTAAAATCCTTTGTCTTATGGACCCAAATTGTGCTTTCTATTGGTATCACAAACAGGAGGATGAAGTCCAAATTAGATTTGTATAACAGGAGGAATATCAAGGCATTATTATGATGCACCAACAAAAAAATCCAAAATACATTCAGTTCCATAGTTGAGCATTTAAGAAACGAACTGCTTCAAAGTAGCTTGTTTACCACAAATTCATGTGCAAATATGATAAGATCAATCTTCTTTCTTGGTGTAGAGTTGCAAAGCAAATGCTAACCCCAATATCAACAAAGGTACCGCATATTGTAAGAGCTTCATCCCGAAACCACTTTCCTGTTCGCTCTGAACTGGACGAGGTGGCAGGTTGTACTTCCTTGTTACTGGGACTGTGGACTCGTCAATGTCACCGATATACATATTTGGCATCAATGCCCTGGCTTCATCACTGTGACCAACATCTTCGAAATCATCGGTTGCATCTCTTCCTGCAGAGTTTTGAACATATATATGAAGAAAATTCCATCAGCTGAGCTTACGTTCATGCTAAATGTCTAAGTAAAACAGTAACCACAAGCAATGAGGCTGAAGTGAGACGCAATGTGAGTAGAAGACAGTACCAGTAGCAGCTAGCAAGACCTCTTCGCCACCAGGATGCTCTTCCATGAATGAGGTCACATCATAGACCTGCAGGAGTCTTGGTTTACATAGGAGTTCATATATTTTTATTGATTATCTAAATTATTTTATGAGATAGTGAAAAATCTAAGTAGAATAAAAAGAAGTAACCTTTACGGGATGGTTGGTGAAACCTTCAAGGAATCAAGGGAATTAAAGAAACCAATAGAGACCTTTTATTTACATCCAAAACTATGTAGGACCGTTGCCCGAACTGATTGACCATCTAGTTACATTACTGATGCAGTGGCTAACATATTTTCCTTGTCACTAGAACCGAGTTTCAAATCAACAAAAAGTACTGGCACCATATACATTTGGGCGATAGGCAATGTCATCCTCTTTTGTTCTTTTATTATTTGCTCCATGAGCAAAACTCATGAGAATTTTATTTCATCTCTATATATGAAGATCAATGGTGGTGAGAGCTAGAATTCTAAAGAGCTTATGAGAATAAGCATGGCTAGATATGCAGAGTGCAGACACCATTTGAAGTTTAGATCTTTGTTATATTAATGAAAACATTTTCTAGCTTTCACGTTCTAAATTAAAATATGCTGATACAAAAAATTAAGCAGCTGTTGAAAATGAAAATAAATTTTGGAAGATGACAATGAAAATATTAAAACAACTTCGATGGTAAAACTGAAATTAATATACAAATATCTTCTGTTTCTTGTTTCGTTCAAGTTCATACAAGTTTGAGAAACAATGTCTATAAGTTAATAGTTAATTATTTGAGAAGAAAAATTATTTGTGTTTTCCAGAGGGTTATTTTAAATTTTTGAACAACATCTTATTATATATTGCTGTATGTATTTTATTTACAAACAAATATAAATTGAAAAATCAAAATTTAAAAATACTTTCATCCATCAAATTTAGCTTGATTTTTTATTCTTTTCCCATCTCAGAATTGTTTTGTTTCCGTACTTCGGTTATATTCTGATTGTTAGCATCCAAATCTTGTTTTCATGTCTGATTACTATTTTCCAAATTAAAAATCGTCCTTCTTTCCTTTTCTCAAGAGCCACAACTATCTCCTCCATGATGTAAATCAAAGCTGTCTAAAATCCGTAGTATATCATATCAATGTCAAAGCCATGCAGATTAGTCACTAGTACAACAATCCTTTCGGTAGGTAGGTACTATGTCCATGGCTTGGGTTACAACAGACCTCATGAAAATATGTTGAGCGAGATTTGCTAACCGATGTTTCTGATTGTCCTTGCAGCTTATCTGCTCAAAACGTTACATCATGAAATCCATACCCTCTAAATCCCAAAGCTCTGTTTCCATAAACCACAACAATTTAACAAGCGATAGACCATCCAACAACACTCTTGCTTTTATATCCAACCTTTTCTTTTTTCCAAAAGTTCGAAAAAATACATATACATTGAGTTTCGCAAATGATTGACAAAGTTCATCAACTCAATCAATATATGTTGCAGTAGTTTGAACAATTTTTAATACTACTATCTCCTTGATCTTGAAACCAGCCAAAAATTCTATCAGATGACTTCGCTATTTTCAGTTTATGTCAGAAAGAAAAAAAAAACAATGGCCGAGCTCCGACCAGGGCATTACGAAAAAGTTCAATCTTACCACAAATAAATCGTTGGAAATTTAAAATGCAGCTCAAAGATCGACACAGATACCAATCGGAAAAAAAAACAATAAGAAAAAAATGAGCTAAAACTGACCTTCCCATGGATTAAAAGCCAGCAACTACCCCTGGATTTGTGGTTCGCCAGATCTTCAAACGTAAAGACTTTGGCCATTTCCTGATTAATTTCAATCCAGAAATATTTAGATAAAGGTGATCTAGATATGCTAAATCATTTGGATAAATATTTGATGAGTGCAATAAGACTTTCTTACATTGACGGCAATGTCTTCCTCTTTGCTCTGCACTCCTGAGTGCTGACTTTGCCTCTTGAGTCGAGTCCTGGTGTTCAAGAAGGTAATTTTTTTTTCCTTTAAAAAACGAAACTTTTATTTTAATCATAATTAAGAAAATACTTCATTTGATATTTACGTTAACTTCTTCCCAAGATAATTGACCGTAGAACAAGTATTTAGCAAATAATTAAAGAGCATAATCTCAGCCAATAAAATATTTTTATAATAAAATAAAATGTAACGGCATGTAATTTAAAAAAAAATAAAATCATAAATTGAATGCGCAAACGAAATAATAGAATTAGTATTTACATTCTTTATATAATAGTTTAAAATAGTCAATAGAGTTACGCAAATGTCCATTCTAAAAAAATAAACGAAAATCAAATAAATAAACGAAAAAGTAAACAACTGAGCATCCTAAGACGACATTCACTAGTTTTTAAAGGAGTTCAGGTGGTGAATTATTCACAACCCCCTTATTGATCGAGATTTAGATTTTGATTCTCTTGATATGAAATAATTAATGAAAATGTGAGGTACAGTAGCCCAATAAGAATATCACATTACTCACCGATACAGAAAATGAAGGTTGGTAAAAATTATAAAAATAACAAATGGAGCTCTTAATTTAAGTAAATTTTTTTATCATAAGTAAAACCATTTATTGCATACTTACCGTTGCGAGATTTTTAAAATCGGCCTATAGAAACAATAACTTAAATAACATTCCAATCTTATATTCAAATGAGCAAGAACAGTAAATTTCCCTTTTTATTTGCTTACTGGTATTTCTGGGGGTCCATAGGGATGTCTCACTACGCATGAATCATTATTCAACATTGTCAACTAACAGGTCGTTCCCATACCCCGTCCGCCATGAGCGCTAAGAATACCGTCCCTTAATACCCCGTCGAATATGAGGGTGAAACGACCCGTCCCTATATCCTGTCCGGTTTGAGCGCCAAACATACCAATCCTCGATATCTCGTTTGGTATGAAAGACGTTCACGTTAGGGTTCCTTATGTACTCGGTCCATCTACCATCACCCAAGATATCTAGTAAGGTTACCATTCATTCATTCATTCACTTAACCAATCAATTTTATGTTTACATTTAATTTTCAGTTTTACAATTTAATCGTAAATCAATGCAAGACAATAATACATGCATAAAGGAAACACAACTGAATTATTTGACCAATTCCAGTATATTATCATGCATTTAAAGCTGTAAAATCAAACAATCAGTTAAATAAGACAACAATAATAAATAACTAGTTTTGGTTCTATTAGTAACCTGTAATTAATTCTCAAAATTTTTTAAATTACGCAAAATACCATATTATTGATAATTTAACTTCAATTCCATAACAGGGAACAAGATGAGGGATTCTTACCCGAATCGGTATCCGAAACACTAAACTTTCTACTGGGAATAAGATGAGAGATTCTTACCCGAATCGGTGTCCAAAATACTAAACTTTCTACTGCACCTACTGGCGATCCCCGAGTTTCTTGAATTTTCCAGCAGCGAAATTTTTCGGTGCGGCAGCTCCGTCGGCTCACCTTCGCAGCTGGGCATTTTTCTTCGGTCAACCTTTTTTGGCGGTAGGAGGTGGCTCCGACGTGGCGGCGGGTGGTGGTTGGCTCCCTTCTCCAGCGACTACTTCTTCTTTTTCGGCAGAAGGCTGGCGACTAGGGTTTGGGGTCGGTCTGATGCAAAATATTTATACTCGTCTCTCTTAAATCTGGATCGTTTATCGCGTTTGATCTCGACCGTCCGATCGTATTTAAAGAAAAAATGAATTTGAACCGTTCATCGAGAATTGATCTCAACCGTCCGATCACGTTTAAAAAAAGAACGAATCTGGACCGTTGATTGCGTTAAATCGCGACCGTCCGATTACGCCTGAAGAGAGAACGGATCTGAACTGTTTACACGCGCGAGAACGCATTAGGGTTCTTCCAATCGTGCCTCGATTGCTAGCGTGGCCTCTCCGCGTGGCATCGAGTCAGCGTGCCTTGTCACACGGCGCGCTCCGGTTTACCGGGATTGCTGACTGGGCGGTCCTACGTGGCACAATTTTTTTTAATTGTGTTTTGACTCCCAATTTCCGATTTTTCTTTCAAAAACACAATCCGAACTTAAATTTTTACAATTTTTTTTAAAAATTATTTTCAATTTCATTCTCAATCTATTTTTTTTCCTAATTTCACATTAAATAAAAATTTATTAATTTCAAAATTATATTTTTATACAATTTTTAAATTTTAAAATTAATCCCAAACTAAATTTTGGGACCGGGTATTATATAAAAAGAAATATTTTAATAATTATATTTGAATTGTTTATAAATAATTATTTTAATAATAGAAAGGTGCTTGAGTAAATTTAGTAGGAAATATGTATAATAGTTTTAAACTAGTATTAATTTATTAGATAAATTATAAATTATAATTATTGATTTGATAAATTATTATTATTTTTCTATATACAATGAATAATTACAGTAGTCTTAGTGATTAGATGAATGATTTTGTACTAATAATAGATAAAAACTATAATTTTTTTATTTATTGATTTTATTAATTTTATGGATTAACTTCTTGGCTAATCTTCGTTTTCCTTTGAGGGGGACTTCTTTCTGCAATCCTGATTAGACCAAAGTGATACAGATTTTCACCTACCAAAAATAAAATGTGAAGGATTTGAAGTGTTGTCTACCAAATTACCATAAAAGCTATATACAGACTTTGAAAAAAAAATAAAAACCCATTAGAAGAATAAACCATTAAAAAAATAGATACTAGATTGATTTATTTGATGCTTTATTGAAATAGATAATTTAATTATTATTATATTCTAAATCTCATAAAAAAAAAATTAACAAAAAGCTCCATAAACTTAATATAAATAATGACTCCAACACTCTCTTTCCTCGAAAACATGTTAGCTCGTCTAGAGTTGTTATAACAAGAAGCATGTAAATTTCAATTTGGACATAATCAGATTGAATTATTTTTTGTATGATCTTTGGTCCAAGAGAAGGAAAGAAAAAAAAAATTAATCCTAACTGATTTAGTCACGAACTAAACTTGTACAAAAAAAAAAACACTAAACCTAAGTATTTGTCATCCTCCTCTCACTATTTATACAACTATTTACTACTATTCTCTCACCATCTCAAAGTTATTTCAATCTCCGTTCTCGGTTCTCACTCTCTCCTTTTTATAGCTTTATTTATTGGTCACTGCTCATCTCTAAAACTCTAACTCTCTCTAGTCCTCACGTAGCTGGGCTAGTACACAACTTCACCCTCACGATAGCTCTCCCACCTTGACACTTATAGCCTTACATTCTCTGTGAATCTTCTCATTGCTCCTCTATAGCCCTCTTCAGTCCTCACGCAACACTCTTACTCTTACGCTCACAACTTCATGCAGCACGCTCACGAATTCACGCTCATAAGTCCTCATCTCTGCTCTTTATTTCTCCCTTGTATTGTTGTACATTATCGCTACTATATTGGCCAATAAATGGTTCTAAGATGCAAAAAAATTAATAATGATTTTAATAATTGGACTTAGAGTAAAGGATTAGTAATGGCTTAATGCTTCATGTTCATGATTTTCTTGACATCTTTTAAGCTGCAAAAATTATTACAAGTGTTCATTGTACTTTTTAATTTTAGTGTTCGTTTTTTTTAGAATATTTCTTTTTTGTTTTGAAGTTACAAATCTATTTTCACTTTAAACCTCAGAGTTTATTAAATTTTTTTTTTCATCTCAACTCTTTCTAAATACGTTCTAAAGTGTCAAACTTGCACGGATTTTTAATTCACTTTTTAAATGTGATGACTGTTCTTTTAAGAAAATTTTGATGTGTTCTTAAGGTTTTAGCATTGTCTTGCCTTTGTAAGTTTGTCTTTTCTTTCTATTGCTGTAGCGCCCGGGAAATTAAAAAAAAAAAAGAGGGGCCATGTCAGCAGCCACGTCAGCAGACCCAGTCAGCAGTCCCGGCCAACCGGGACCTGCCACATGGCAAGACCACGTCGATCCGGGATGGACCACGTTGGCGATCCGCGTATGCGCGATCGGACGGCCCAAATCAAGCGTGCGATCGGACGGCCCAGATGCAATCGCACGGACGGCCCAGATTCAATCAAAAACGGACGGCCCAGATTAAATCAAAATGGACGGCTGAGATCAAAAGGCAAAAAGGGTATAAATAAGACCCCCACACAAGACCACAAAACCCTAGCTGC